CTGATGTGTACGCCATCTGTACTTAGGAATGATAAGTCCTTCCAGAAACCATGATGATGAAACGAGTTATGGTCAAGAGAGAAGGCCCAATTCTGTAGACAGCGATTAGCCTCGACAACCCGGGAGTGATACAAACATGGCGCACTCCAGATCCCAGAACCAAGTAATTTGCATAACTGGATTTTCCTCAACAAGGTGTCTACAGCCTAGATAGGTATTATCTAGGACATTTCCTCCAATCTGTATAAAAACGATCTGGGAAGGCGGATCAACTGTCGTAAATTTGGGTCTGCGAGTCATGCGAACAAAAGTCAGAACTCCTTCACAAAGAAACTGTACATCAAATTAATGTTTATGAAGTCTAAAATTGTCATTCTCAGTGTTAAGAGCAATAAAATTCTGCAACAAATTCTCTTAAATTGCACATGTCGCGTGAGCAGTAGAAATCTTAATCTTACTCAAATGCATTCGGATAGAGATCTTCAAGTTGTTAAAATGAGAAGAGGTGTGTTGACTACACCTGCAGTTACAGTAGTATTTCGGGTGAAAAGGTAGACTACAACTGAGGTCGTATCACATGCACAATGGGTTAAATAACATCCTGGCCCTTGGGTAATAAAACTAAGACAAGCTCAGTTTCAATCTCAATATATTCAATCTCAATACAGTTTCAGATGTAGAGTTATGACATCTGGTAATGGTTCAACCCTGGCATTTTTTCTTGAATTTCTAGTTGGTTATCATTGTTTTGGACATGCAGATATTTCCAGATTTTTGAAATCTGTCTCCTTTCATGACTTAATTAAATAAAACAAACAGAACACCAACACATCATGAGAATGCACAATTATACAAAAATATTATCTACTGAAGTAAAAAATGCAAATGATGTTGCTATAAGCAAATAAAATTGTGAAAGATTTATACAGCAAGCTGATTGGATTTACATATTATCTTCTGAAGTAAAAAATGCGGATGATGTTGCTATAAACAAATAAAATGCGGGAGATTTGTACGGCATGCATATTGGATTTACATTATTTTTATACCTCCTTTAATTCTTTGACATTGTAAATAAAAAGTTATGTATGATTTACAATATAATGCATGGAATATTTGTGTAGTATAATTAATTAAATAGTCCATCCTGGTGGAAGCTCATCTAAGCAGACAGTTTCTGTGGATGTTGATTGTGTGGGATGATTAAATTTTGGTTTGTTGGCTGGTAGCCTGGTAATATTCTAAAGATTGGTTTTTTCATGGTTCTTGATCGGCTTTCAAAAGGGCATTTCCATTCCTTTGGTTTTTCAGCCATTTCTCTAGGATTGGTGCTAGTGAATGTCAAGGTTTCTTAAAATCTGTATGTGGATAATCTTAAGCGAAATGCCGTTGAATTATATCTTTACAACAGTAAGATTTTTTAAAAATATCGCAGTAGTAGTATCTGGTTACAATCAGATTATGTTGAAGTTCATTGTGCCTCTTGAGGTTGCTTGCTTGTTTAAATTTGCGGTTGCATTTCTTTTTCTGACTGTTAAAGGAAGTGCAGAACAACCATTTATTCTGTTGCTGATAATTTGTTTCAAGGTATTTTCATATCTGCATGACATTCTTGTGGCATAACTCTTCCAAAGGACAATGTGAAAAGTCATTTATTGTTCTCAGTCATCACGCTATGCATTTGCATCACATGCATTGCAAAACTAAGTCCAATAAATTCCTTCATTTCACTTTTATTTACCTCTGTCCACTTTGATGTAGATGGACGGGATGCATTTTTTTCACGCTCTTTTACTGCAAACATATATATTAGTTTCTTGACAAACATGTCCCACATTTCCTCTGTCCATTTTGAATTGAAATGCTGTCCTGTCATGGCTTCCTCTAGGTGTTCAGTTAAAAAAAATCATGATCTTGGGGCATAAAATAGATCAGCTGTGTTCGTTTGACCCAGCAATCTAGTGTAATTGGTTCCTTCCACAAATGCATTCATCTTCTCTATATAAAAGTATATAATTTTCTAGAGATGAATATCAGTGTGTTATTTTGCATTGTATATGCACATTGATTTGAGCACTGTAGCATCTCAGACACTTCAACCCTTGCCTTAAGCTACCCTATGGGAGCATCAATGTTTCAAACACATCTTGCTATCATCAGAATTTGATTATGCTGTTTTTAAAATAATATAATATATATAGATATATATTTATATAAAATGATAATTTGTCCCATATACCTGTTTTATAAGGGCATGGTATCCCTTTAACTGGCTTCTGACTAGAAACCCTTTGGATGCAGCCTGAAGCAGCACTATAGACTGGTTCTTTTGTACAGGCCTCTGGTTCTCTTGCCTTTGTAGCAGGCCTGTATGGTCTTAGCTGCTTCTTTAAGAGTAAGGTATTTTTTTTGAGTCTGACTCATGACATGGTAAGCTTTAAATCGACTCTGTATACAATTAATGCAAGCTGACTTCTTCATTTTTCTTTATTTCCTTTGGTCTAGACAGTGACGCATAAAAGACTGAACAGTTATAACTGCTTCCTTTTTTTAGTTTTAAAGTTTAGGGGGAACATGCTGAAGGCGTTTATGCAAATTATCATGTAAGCCACTCAATTGATCACATCATGAAACGAGAAAAAAATGGGAACAGTTATTCCTTCAATTTGGTGGCCGTGAGCCTGAGTTGACAAAGGTTTTTGGAGAACTCCTTTCCTGGATAATATGTAGCCATATCAATGATATCTTGTTCGTTCATATTTAGTTTTTGTCTTCTTGAGGTGTTTCTTATTGTAAATCTGGAAAGCCTTAATAAATTTCTTAATAGTTAGCAAATGCAAAAGTCTTTTCTGGCTTCTTATTTTCATCTTTCCCTTAGGAAGGTGTGTAATAAGGGATTAGGCTAGCAGTGATGTCAGATTGACGTCCTTACCTGCATTCACCATTGATTTGCTGCTAAAGTATGGCAAAATTGTCTTCACCAGAGGAAGGGACTCAGCCAGAATCTCTGCAGTTCTGACATTTGTTCTAATGAAGTGGCCACTGATGTTGAAATGTGGGCAAAGGCCGTATCTAATGTGTAAATGTTCTTGGGGATTTAGGGACTAGTACTTGTAGATGCGAATGTTAATACTTGGCTAAGTTGTATAATGACCTAAAATGACAGAAATCTAAATAGTTCAACGATATCCACTTCACTATAAACATGATTAACTATATTAAAAAAATGTCAGCTTTAACTAACCAAAAAAATTAATTTATTTAATCATGCATGCACAAAAAATATATTTTAAAAATGTTAGATTTATCTAACTTTAAAATCCAGGCCAAGCAAAAAAAAAAAAATTGGTTCTCAGGCCATCCTTTAGAAAATCAAATGAGGCAGGCAATTTTTTTTTAATTATTATTTTCAAAATATCGTTTTCATATTAACAATTTCAGTCAAAGTGTTCAATTTTGCATTACGTCATAACCTATGATGACAGCTGTGCTCAAAGTATTAAATAGTACATGCCTTCTAACTACAAGCTTTACAGCTGGAAGTTTTTTTTAATCCCTGATTGGTTGCTAGTGCAACAGACTTTTTCCATGTCAATAATGATAATTAATTGACCAATCAAGTGAAATGTTTACACTGGATGCATCTGTTGAAAAAGATTGTGACTTTATGCAAAACTGCACACTTACCGTATAATCCCTATTAACCGCCCCTGCCCCTATAAGCGCCCCCCTTAGGTCTTTTTCAATTGTCTGGAAATACGGGAGCCCTGTTCAGTAATTAAAATTATCTAGAAAGACTAGAATCGTATCAAAATTCTGCAAAAATTTGAATGAATTGAAAATGAAACTTGTTTATTTTCCAATTTTTTGATGGAAAATGATTCATTTAGCACACTTTGGGTGGATGATCTTCATTTAAAGTAAAGTTAGTACTTATTTTGGAGATTCTTTGAATTTATTTTCTTTTTCCAAAATATTTTTGAAGTTAAAATATGATATGAAATATTACTAAGAGAATACCAAAATAACCGCCTCCTTTTTGCAATTTTCTAAGCGCCCGGGGCGGTTAATAGGATTGTACGGTATTACTGAAATTAATAATATTTATACTGAATAACATCAGATATTTCAATTAACACAAAAATAGTCATTTGTCTTTCTTTTTTGGGGGGGCATTTCTTTCTTTCCAAATATTACATTTCAAGGGAGCTTTATCTGTATGAGTATCACAAACAGGGTACGCACCATCGCAAACTTGCTTAAACAAGGAAATCTTGGTGAATGTGTCCTGCATTTCAGCTAATTCTCCCCAATATCTCTCAACTGATGTTCTATCTGGTAGTTCAGCATCTGCCATAAGTTGGTAGTCCGTGACCTCATCTGTAAGCTCATCATATCTTTTCCTTACCTAAGACATTTTCAAACTGATTGTTAACTCTCTAACAAATAATTACCTGTTTTCTGGTGATCACAGCTCATACACTGTAATGATTGTTTAAAAAACATAGCCACTGGCTGTATTCATGGTATTTTTTACACTTCCGTTTCCATTTTAAAGGCACCATCTGGTGTCGAAAATTGAGAATAAATTAGATTTATATCTCTTCGGATTATTTACCAGAAATTGGGTTAAAAAATGGGGACGATCGGTTTTGCTGGTGAAAATGATGACCTGCCATGGGTTAACATGAGTTGCCGGTGAATAGTCAGTTTTGCGGGTGTGACTCACCGAATGCGGGTCACTTGGCACATCTGAGAAGGTCTATGCTCATCTGTAGTGTCCGTTCCAAAAATGATAAATATTTTCCAAATAATACCTGTGCTTGCATGTATCCACAGGAGTGTATTCATCAGTGCATAGTGGGACATAGAAATCAGCAGTTAATAAATGATCTGTCAATTCTGTATCGTGACATCACAGTTGGGCAGAAAATATACTTTGGATACAAGATTTTTAAAGACTGTGTGTTCTCGATTTCTTACAGGAAACATCTGTTCTGTATTTTCACTGGATCTTTAAGCATCATCTTTCAAATAGATACAGTATTTGTTACACATTTCCGACAATTCACACAAAGCTTTCTTGATGGAATACCACAGAGGCCCATTAAGAAATGTACTCTCTAAAGCTAACTCTAATTTGGCTACATGAGACTGCAAGGCAGGATATCTGATATCTTCTTTCTTGTGCTTGTGTCTAGCTTGGTTATTGAAACCTGCGAGATGTTCAAATATGAGAGGGAGATTACAGTGTCTTTCTTCCATTCTGTGTGAGAAGGGATCTATATACCATAAACAGTCTGTGAGGGTGTGTATTAATGTTGTACCTGATTCCAGAGATGAATGTGTAAGGGATGACCTTGCATGCGAAATTTAGTATTAATGATTGGACTTATTTAAGGGTAGCTGAGGATTAAGATTGAAATTGAAGTATTTCAGCTTTCAACCGAACCAATTTGTCCTCAGGAAGCCTAACTTCGAACTTCATCGAGTCTAACTCTAGTCCTAGGAAAGTTAGGGTTGTAGTTGGATACACAGTTTTTTCTGCTTTGATGGGTAGTCCAATATCTCTTGCAAGGGTGTAAAAGGCTATAAGGGCGCTGTAGCATTTTGACGATTTGGCTGGACCAATGAAAAGAAAATCATCGAGAATGTGAACACAATGACAGACTGCAAATTTGTTTTCTAAAATCCATTGCAGAGCGGAACTGAATTGTTCGAAGAGGTTGCAGGAATAACTGAGACCAAATTGGAGGGTTTTGTCGAAATAAAACTTGTCATCTACTTTAAACCCCAACAGTTCGAAATCGTTTGGGTGAATAGGGACCTGTTTATAGGCATTTTCTATGTTTGTTTTTGCCAGCAGGCACCCTCTTCCCAATTGTTTTATTATGGCAATTGCTGTATCAATAGACTGATATTGAACTGTGCAGAATTGTAGAGGGATATGGGAATTAATGGGGTCTCCGTCAGGGTAGGACAGATGGTGAATCAAACGAAATTCTCCAGGAAATTTTTTAGGAACTAGGCCTAATGGAGATACCTGGATGTTTGGAAAAGGTGGTGTTGAAAATGGGCCACCTACTCGTCCAGCTTGAACCTCTTGGTCAATTCTTTGATGTAGTATATGTTCTTTACCCCGAATAGATGAAAGATTTCTTGAGAGTCTAAAGGTACGGTTGCCTGTAAATGGTATACTAAATCCTGAACCAAAAGTGAAGCCATCAATTAAAAATGTTTGCAAATACTTGGGAAATTCTGAGACTTTTATTGTGGAAACCGCTCTTGCGTTATTGTTTGGCTGGGTAGGTTGCTGTGGATTTTGAGGCATCTTTGTTATTTTGTAGGGTTGGACCGAAACGTCAGGATTTGTGGCATTGTTTGCGGGGATGCTTTCCTGCACAATATTGGCAGACGTGAGGGTGGGGACATGAGTTGCCATCCTTGCAGGACCACACCACCCCTGATGGTGGCGACGTGATCTCTTGTAACAACGAAGGAGTTGTTTGCTGACTGCCGGTCCTTCTTTGTGATCCCTCATGGTAGTCTTTCATATATTGCTTAAAGGTGTCCTCAATGGTTGGAAGCATCCGTTGCATACATTCCTTAATCATGTTTTCCATTTGAGGAATTGGCGCTGTTATTTGTGGTGTCACGTCCAGAGGTACTGGTGGTGGTGTCGCGTCCAGAGAGGGTGCTGTAGTTGGGGATGGTCCCGCTGTTGAGGATTTTGCATGTCTCCTCCTTTTGGGTTGGGTTGCCATGATCCTGTGGGGTCTGCCGTTATAAAACATACTTAAGTCTGAGAATGCTTTCAAGTCTGAGAATTTTCTCAAATCCAAAATTCTCAGACTCATAATAAAGTTGAGAAAAATAAAATTTCGTCCACTTTCGTCTGCCGTGTAGGAAGGGCATCCTTATTGAGGTCCTTTCTGGATACTGTCACTCCCATCGACTCCATGATCCTGTACTTGGCAGGGTACGCATCCTCAGCGAAGTGAACGGAGCACAACGTGGACGTCTTCGAGGGACCCTTCCAATCTCGTCTGTACTGCTGCACAAACTGTGTCCATCTTCGCAAAATGGCAGGCCTGTCAAAGGGAAAGTAGTGTAGGCTAATTCCCTCCATCTTTGTGTTGCTGCAGCCGCCCGCGACACATCGTCTCCCTCTGGAATCTGCTCTGGGGACGGGGGTCTCCGACATCCTCAGTTTACACGAAAATGTCACAAAAATCCGATGAAAAAAAATCTAAAGACTAATTTTACACAAACTAAACACTACATACTACGATCGCTATGCAACAAAAGTCCACAAAAGTTACTAGAAATATATATAAAGCTCCAAAAATGTCCTTGAAAATTTACTATTTCCTTTGTTTTCAAAATGGCCGGTCCATGTAGTGAAGTCACACTGTTGCATTGTGGGTGCCAAGGGCCAAAACCGCGCGATTCACAAAGTCGCTCAGGTGTGAATTTGGGTTTTCCAATAACTCCGTTAATCGTGCATCGATTTCGATGCGGTTTTTTTTGTTGGTTTTATTTCGCCGCGTTCTAAAACATATAAAAGAATTGTCACGCATTTCCATTACCCTTTAAACTCTGTTTTATTCTTAAATTCTCAGCTGAGTAATTCTCAAAACTTGAGTTGAGAATTTTTTTGAGAATTCTCAAAGTTTTATGATGGCAGACCCTGCTTTCTGAATCATACACAGAATCTTATTGAACAGCACTCTCGTATTGTTTGAGATCTTTGTATCTTCTGAGTATGGTTTGGTTAAGATCATTTTCCTGTGTGCCATCATGAGATCATCAAAAGCACTTTGTGCCTTACCTTGACTTGATTCTGAATTTTGTCTGTCATCACTCTTAACTCCATCTGAATTTTCCACAAGATTAAATCTGACATATCTTCCATACAAATTAACAGTTTCGTTGATGCCAACCGACAATATCATTCTGTGAAAAGAATCAAGATCAAGACATTTGATATTCCAATCGATGCTTCAAATGCATAACTTGTGTACTTTGATGGAAAAGTCCACCATCCTGGTCCAATGTGACCGTCTCAAATAGCATTAAATAAATTTCCAAGAGATATAAATCGGTGCTGTAATTTCCAATTATACTCCAAGGCATCAGAATATTGGCTCCACAAGTAATCTGACACGATAACAGTGCCATGACTCTCCGTCACCGCACCAAAGCATGTTTATTAAATCTAAGTCTATTTTGAGCGGTGTCCTATAATAAGTTAATGGTTTGTATTTCAAAACACTTTCATGATAGAGATCTAGACGTTCTAAATTTAAAATCTGTCATGACAAAGTAACGATTTCTGAAATACTCTGATAAATTTTACCAAAAAAATTTATATGTGGTGGGTTTAACTTTAATGCGGTGGGGCCTGAGAACCAATCTTTTTTTTTTTTTTGGCCGCAGATAAAAAATAATTTCTACCGTGTAAAAAAAGATATAAAATCGTCTAGTAAAATTAAATTAAAACACAATTTAAAACATTTGTTCATATGAAACTTTTTTGTTGAAATGGTGCAGTATGGCTACAAATTTATTTGCGTTCATTAAAATTCAAATGAGATTTTCAGAGCTGAAATCCCACTTCCTGATTTGTAGCTTCGTTTCCCTGAGGCTGACCGTCAATCTGACTCTGACTGGCCACATTGATGATGGCCCCCGTTGGTGTGTGACTGTCGGCGATGTCCTGTTGCATGTCATCGCCATGTGGTCGACGGGTCCCCAGTGACATCTCGCCCTGTCTTGTATTTATGCTCTCTCACTTCCGTTTTCTTCCCGTACCCCTGGATGGCGTTTTGAAACTTCTGGCATATTCTTTCCTTCCTCTTGTAGCTGTACGAGTGGCATCTTCTCAGATTGAACCTCGGATGGCAGCTGCTAATTGTGAAAGTTTTGTTGTGCAAGTCCTTGAGATTTTTTTAACAACGGAAATGAAAGTTGTTTGATTGTATTATCTTGAAGAATTAAAAAGTTATTACATTTCTTAAAAATGGATTATTTCTTGATATAAACATGATTCACTTGCTTCACTTTAAATTTACTATAACCTAGAAAAAAAATGAATTTAAGAACAATTTTTAATACATGTATAGCTATCTGTTGGTCAAAGTTTATATACTGTCAGATAATGAACATGATGAAAGAAAAGTAATATCTATTTTTAAAAATTCAAACTCAAATGTACTTACATAAAATTTATGAAAAAAAAAACAAGTCCATAGAAATTATCCATATGAACACAAATTTCTGAACACAATTCACTTTCTCAACATTCTCATGATTTGTTTTGAACTGCTTTTGAAGTGCACTGGAACGTTACACTGCTGACACCCAAATTTTGTGACTCCTTTCTTCTGTCCCTACGGCCCAGAAAGCGAACACTCGCAACACACCTTTGTTCATTCTCTGGAGGAAAAATTTTTGCACTCACAGTTCTGATCTATCATTCAGGAGTCCATCACAACTATTTCTGCACAAGTCCATCACCATTATATATGATAGTCCCTTTTCCTGATTTCCCTACCTACCCGTATACACCTGGAACTTGCTCAAATAACCAGTGTCGCTTTCTGCCATTGCCCAGACTTTCAGTCCCCATTTTATAGATTTAGCAGGTAGGTACCGGCGAAAGGATAATCTTCCTTTAAACTTTATCATTGATTCATCAATGGTTACATTTCCATGTGGAATATAAATTTCACCAGATTTCCTGTCCAAGAATTCCAAGAACCATCGAACTTTCCACAGTTTGTGTGGAATCTGTGGTTGGTCATCATTATTTTGGATGTGTAAATATCTCCATATTTGGTGAAATCTATCCCTTGACATTATCCTGTTTATATAAAACTCAAACAATGTTACATTTTCTAAGTTTATTATATACAAAACACATATTGGATCATGGGGACTGACAACCGACTTAACAATGTGTTAGCAAAACTGATCTATCTCCAGGACAGTGGCAAAGTGTACATGGTAACACATAAGAAGCAAACAAGTAATAAGAATGCATGACTGTTGAAACATTTTTAAAGAATTTGTAATATTTGTACACCAAAACAATAAGGCATTCATCATTTTCTTTGATTTTTTTCTGGGAAGGGGTTGTGTAGTTGGGGATTAGCAACATGTTTAGATCTGGCGAAACCATGTCTACTCCAGAAATATTCACTGCAGGAGTCCCAGCGTTCGTTGACATGGCTGTTTGAAGACTGTACTTAGCTTCGCTGTTTTTGTTGGACTGCGTTAATGATGTGATAGCCTGTTGACATAACTGAAGAGTACTCCGAATGACGGATTCTGACATCGCAGATACTGTGGAAACTGTTGTTGTTGGAAGCGTCGAGCTGGGAAGAAGTGAGGTAATAGCAGAACTTCTACCGCTTGGAACTCCTTGTTCTGGATAAACTTTGATGTTTGAAGTGCTTGTACCCTCGATTGTACTAGGCCTTGCAGAAGGTGTAGGTGCAGAAAATGACACAGGGTTTCGCATGTGAGAAATATCACGATTATTGGTAGTTTGAATTACATTGGTAATGTTAGATAATTGATTCCCTTGATTGCGATCGACATCTGCAGCTGCTTGCTGACCCTGAACGGATAGAACATTGTCTACATAAATCCTTTTGAGAATGCTGTGACTAAAATTCACATTAATGTTTATTCCATTATCTGACAGCCTTTTCTTCAGTTCGGTGACTGTCCAGTTACTGGGATTATCACTATTTGACATGGTTATGTTTGTTTGTTTGCTTGTTCGCTGAACCATAGACATAACTTCTAGGTCAATAGTTAAAGTTCAATAAGTCACAAAATAAAACGTGAAAACATAAAATCGTTTCACAGGAAAACAGAACCGATGTCAATATAACTGAAAAATCATGATCTAGCAGTAATTCTTAAATGCAAGGATGGTAGTTGATTAAAATTGTATCAAGTTTCCAAAATGGGTACGAATGCTAAGATGGTGAAACTGAAAACGAGGCTGGGTTATAAATAACTACAGATGAGGCCCAGATAAGGCATATCTCAATAACACAGAATACCCAAAGGCATTGACATGATTTAAATATATACAACAAAATAAATATGATGAAAATTATTTATTTATATAAAAATAAAATTATAATAATAATCTTTCATTAAATGAAGTACAGAATAGCGATTTATTTTTTCGCCAATAATCTGTTTTTTCTGGGAGACACAGTATGCCCATCGCAAAACACAGTCCCAGAAATGCCCTCATTTCGTTTGACTCCACTGGAGTCCATTTTGCTGGAAATGGGGGAGGGTTTTTTTTCACGTTTCTGGTGAGTGTAAATGTTTGTTTCATTTACTTTGTCATTGAGTTCATTTGTCCAAAATAGTTCAATGTATTGACCTGCCGATGCCTCTTCAGGGTGTTCTACAAAGGCCCCACCGAAGTTTTTGTACCAATTCTGCATCAGGGGTTCGAAATTTACCTTCATTCACTTAATATTCTGAAAGCCAAGAAATTCTTCATCATCATCACTATCCTCACAACAAAAAGATTAAAAAAACGAACATCAACGTCTCCCTGATTAACTTCACGATCAACATTACCAACTAAAACATCCCCTAAAACATATCCTCATCTTCTACGTCATATTCTGCCTCAATATTGCTACCATCGCTCAAATCTTCACCTCGCTCCGCCAATTTGAAATCTTGTTCGCATCAGAAGCACCATTTTTCTTTGTTTTAACCAGGTTTTCCCCTCATAAATAAGTAATACTATCTAGTTTCACTTTTATATGCACATGATCAAGGTCTTTTCCCACTTTTTCTTAGTCTGTAAAATGTTTTAAACATCTGGGCATTTCAATTGCATTTAAAGACCAAGTTTGATGCAGGTATGTAAACTACTACTGTAGTGGTAGCTCGCAAGGTGAGAGTAGAACGACCACAGTCGTATATTGCGAGGAATGGGTTAAACGGTTACATCAGTCCAAGACCCCTTGTGATTTTCTGGGTCAGTGGTCTGTTTTGTTGCAGCGCTTAGGATGGTATATTCCACTACTTTTTCAAATAATTCCTTTGTAAAAAACATTTGAAAAAACTCTGGCTTTGCATGAAGCATTCAAAACATGGATTGGGACCAACACGCTCACGAAATGGATGAATATCCCTTCTGTTTTATGTCTTCTCCCAGTCAACAAACTCGAGGGTCCTGTATGCATCCTCAGCTTCAAAGTCCAAATCCTCATCACTTTCGCCAGCTATATTTCAGAACTGCCTTTCAAGTGCAATTTGTTGTCGTCTTGGAAGGTTTACTAAGTCAAAATTTCCAACATCATCAAAGTTTTTGTCGCAAGAAAAGTCTGATTCTTCACTGTCGCTCACCATTTTGCTTTCTTCCAGAGTTCTTGAAATCTTTCGGTCCTGTCGGCAAGACCGATTTCATTACATTTTCATGATGAAGAACTAGTTTGAAGTTTTTATATAGGTCTATTCCAAAGTATCAGATTGCATAAATTGCATAAAATTTTGCATTTTTGGATGTACACATTTGTTCGTTAATTGTGTGATTTTGCCTAACTTAAAGACAACATTCATTGAGGTGAGCTCTGTAATCTCTGATTACCTATGTTTCACATTTTAGGTGGCCTTACTGAACAACTGGAGCTTGTATTTTCAGAGTCCTTTGAGAAACAGAAAAACAAACATAATCAAAAGATTCCAGAGCTCACCTCAAAAAGTGTATGCCTCCAAAAGGCTTGCTCTCCCTTTGAACATGTCTGCAGACATATTCTACTTGTTCAAACATCTTCCACGATAACATGGATATTTCATCAATCATTACACAGTCTACAGACTGTATAGGAGTTTTGACATCATGATAATTTACATCTCTCATAATTCGTTTAGTCAATTCCTCATTGGAGTACCGACCATCCCCAAGTCCAAAAAGTCCAAAAAATTTGTGAACTGTCATGCCTTGTATTAGAGATGCTGCCATCCCAATAACACCTACTTTTTTACCATTTTTTTTTTCATTGCAATGGCAATTTTTTCATAAGGCGACCATAATTTGATTTTTAGTTTTACGGATTTTTTTTCAAGAAAGGTCAAGTCGGAGGACGAAAAAAAAAAAAAAAAAAGACAAAAATCATTCTAGCAACGACCTTTTTCACATATAAAAAGTCACGTCACATTTCACTGTAGTATAAAACAAAACAATAAACAACTTACAAGATATGTTTTTTTAATATTAATACACATTACTTGTATAAATGTTGTTATTTATAAAAATGACAACTTTTAATTCAAACATTGTTTAATATGAGTACCATTTAATATTTGAAATTATATAAATTTAATTATGTTCTTCACTGTATAGTTTGCACATTCATTTGAATGTCATTTGAATAATATTCAGGGTAAATATCGAAGTTTAACTTGGCAATTAAAAGATTTAATAATATTCTGCAGACGGTCTGAGTTTCCAGCTTTTAACTGATTGATGAATGGATTTTTCTCATTATAAGGAGCAAGACAACTGTTTCCTGGATTTAATAAAGATCTGAAATTGAAGGAATTGGAAGTACCTGTTAGCCAAACTTAAAACTTTAAACATTTTTAAAAATTACATGCGTAATCTATTGAGAATGAATTAGATGGATTCTTAGATCCTGCATTCTTTTTTTCACTCTTAGTACATATGATATCAAAGCATTATTGTAGTCCTGTTCCAATTTGCTAATATTATATTTTGAAATTCAGAAACTTTATTACCCTGTTTAGCTACTTAAATTCAAAGAAGTCTTCTACAGGTACTGTCAAGTTGCTCTGCAGTTTCAAGGGCTTTTATATACTGGTGTTGATGTAGGATTTGCTAAGTCACTGACAGGTCCAGCACAATCTCTTGATTAAGCTAAATAGCTTTAAAAAGCTATGTAGCTTTATTAAGCTACTCAGAATAGCTTGATAAAGCTATTTGTATGTAGTTTTTTTACAAAAACATTTTTTGAAAGAAATAAACAAAAAGTCGCAAGTATTTGACTATTCATATATGTATTATTGACTACCAAAAATACAACCTAAATCATAGAAAATTCTTACATTGCTGCTGTTGAATACTTTAAGCAAAATAAGAATTTCCATTGTTTGGGTAACTGTGTGAGCAGTGAGGCATAGGTAAGTATGATTGCTTCTCATTGTGCTGAACAGTTACTAATCAATTATCCTGTTGGCCATAACTGGCCTCCTTTATAATTTCATTCAAGAAACAAGAAAACAATCTTGACGCAAGCGTCAAAGATATCAGGCCGCAAAACCTTTTAAGGACACTTTAAACAGATGGGAAATGTTTTTTTAGCCAACCAATGTACACGTATCTTTGTCTAATATCATATTTAAAATACAAATATTTTTTTTTTAAATATGTCTTATGGTGCAGATTACAATTTATATCATTTTATGTTAAATAATGGGTATATGAAATTACACATTTGAAAGCATGAAGAGTACAGAGGGACCTATTTCAAACACAAATTAATCTTGGATTATAAATTAGAAGAATGGATGCCTGCCTGTTCATATCTGACATACCAACCCTCAGGTTCACTCAAAATTATGGACCCGATGGACCATATAAAAAAAAATTCCATATTGGTGCAAACAATTAATATATTTAGCTTAGTCAGAACTTTGTTAGTTCATTATCCTTTTCCAAGATTGTCATCGATTTCCTTGTGGAAAGTCTACTTAAAATAATCCATAATCCAAAATCTTGGTGTTGATTCATTTTTGTTCAATTACTACAATTCATTGAAGTTGCAAATGGTAATTAAATTATACCGTATAATCCCTATTAACCACCCCTGTCCCTATAAGCGCCGCCTTAGGTATTTTTCAATTGTCAGGAAATAAGGGCCTCCTGTACAGTGAAGTGAAAATGAAACTTTTTATCCAATTTCTTGGTGGAAAATGATTCATTTAGCATAATTGGGGTGGATTATCTGCATTTAAAGTAAAGTTAAACATTATCCTTTTTGGATTTCATAAGGAATCAAACAAGACTAGTGAAATCATCATGTTTTAATATTTTAAAAAACTGTGGAATATAAATTCATATTTTATAATAAACATTAAAAAAGTTATGGACATTTCTGAATATTTAAACTGTAAAAAGGTTTAGTTCTCCTTGAAAGGAGTGCTCCATTTAGAAAACAATGAACATGGGTACAACTAAAAAAAAATAATACCGTTAACAATTATATGTGGTTTGGATTTCCATGAGAAAAAAGTATTTTGTGTACATTAAAAAAAGGTTTAATTACAATAATATATGGTTTGGATTTCCTTGATCACCACCCTTAAAAAAAATATATATGAATGGACTAGATTTCAGTTCTTTCAAAATGCTACTCCTCCTACAGTTTTGGTCTGATTTTTTTTTTAATAACATGCAATGTAATGCTAACAATTTAAGAAACATTATGACTAGAACATAATGAACACAATTTCTAAACTACAATATATATCATGCATGCAAGCATTAACAAAAACTTGTAATAGTTCTAGTAAAAAAAGGCTATTAATTAGTAAACAATGACTAGAGAACATTGCACATACACTATATGGTTATTTTTGTCCAATATATTTCGACTAGATTTAAATTCTTACAGGTTGACTGAATTTTAAAATTTGTCTCTATTTTTAAAAGCACTTTATGTGAACAAATGGGGAGTAAAGGACAAAAATAAACCTTTTCTACAGTATATTCTACGACTAATATCAAAAAGCCTATTACATGTTTGTCTAAACTACTTGCATTATGCAACAATTCAAAAAACGTCAAAATTAAGCATGCATATTTTTTTTTCTTTCAAAAATACATATGGTACTGTCAGTTAAAACTACAACCATCTAAAGTACATGTTACTGACTGTTTCTTAGCACAGTATAAGAAAACTAAAACATCATTTTCAGCCAAATGTATGTAAAAGCACATGACATATGACAACAAAAAAAGAAAAACAATTTCTTTGCATCATTTGACAACAGAGAAAAAAAATTCAATTGGCAAACTTCAAAATTAAACATGTATTTTTTTTCTTCAAAATTACATACTGTATTGTCAGTTATAACTACAACCATCTAAAATACATGTTACTGGCTGTTTCTAAGCACAGTATAAGAAAACCAAAACATCATTTTCAGCCAAATGTTTATAAAAAGACGTGTCATATGACACACAAAAAAAAAGAAAAACAATTTGCATCATTTGGCAACAGAGAAAAAAAAAATCAATTGCACCTTTAATGAAGATGTTGTCTCAAGGAACTTCTTCAAATCCTACAGTTCAATCATAATTAGACAAAAATAAAAATCCCCTCAGATAATCACTGTAATGTCACTTTAATGAGACACGTTGACAAAACTGTTGTTGCTGATTGCTGCCTTGAAACGGATGGGCAACTTTTCTATTATCGTAGAAATTATGTCCTCTTTGGTGTCAAAATCTGCACTTTCCTTAATAATTTTTTCTATAGTGTTCTGGAACAAAGTTACTATGTTATCTTTTTTCCCGTCTACTTCGTATAGAAACTGAACTTTGTACGATTTTGCAGACTTGTTGCTTTCTTTGCCACATAATGGGCACTTATTACCAGAAATCTTCTTTCTCCTGCAGGCTATATATATACAAAAAAAAGATTTTCATTAATCAGACAATTGAACACACATTATAATACTAGGGATCAAGTTTTTACTTACTGTATATTGTTATAAAATTTGTTAATGGTACTATCATTGAAATAGCTATTTAGAAAGCAATGTGTTTGAGTATAGTCATTTTAATACATAATGGATATGAACTTGTTTCTAAAAATTGTGTGTGTGAAGGGATACATTTCATATATTACACATTAAATAACAATATATCATGACACAATTCTTTGTGTATCAGTATGCATCTGTAATTGTAAACAAAGCATTATCAATTACAAAAACTCTTTCTTATGAAATACACAGCAGTGCTAATATGCCAGATATTAAGTTTTAAATAAATTTTGTAGAATACAATTAAAAATTGTTATAAAGAAATGATAATTACGTGGCATATCGCAGCACTGGTAGACATCACAGTCTGTGAAATCTGTCAATATGATGTCTTTGGTCTGCATTTCTTCTGGTAGTACATCAGAGAAGTCAGGATCTTCTATTCCCTTTTGCTTGTCTTCTTCGGTTATCTCAACTTGAAGAGAATCCCCAACCATCTGATAACAATTGGAATCAAAAACATAACAATTGGAATGAAAAATATAAATTTTTTTCAACATGGATTAAAAAAACAGTTTGGTATTATTAAAAATTTATACTCAGATGGTGTGTCACACCTTAAGTCTAAATTTCTTATAACTGAAAATGGACATAATAACAATTATATACCTCACAAACTGTACCAGGGCTTGATGTCAGCTGCGTTCTTTGGTTGTACTGCTTTTTATAGACAGCAGACACTTTGACAACATCTCCATGATTGAAATGCAGTTCTGCATTATTGGCAAACAAACATACTTTTGCTGTTGTTTTCTGGTCTTTGAGAATTAAAGACCTTACTGCCAAGGTCCCCTCCTGACGATAACGAAGTGGGGACACCTTAAAAAAAAGTAATTATTAAAATAGACTTCTCCGATTTATATTAACTTTGTACTGGTTTTTATTAACAGCCATTCCATTTATTAGTTTTACATTTGTCTGGAAAATTATACAAGTAAAATCTCATTAGAAAAAGTAATAAGAAGTATTTTTTTTCTCAAATATTATACTAAAACTTACCATGACAACCTTTCCTGTTATTGTGGACTTCTCAGGAGAATTTAAAGCACCCTTCAAATCTTGTTCTAATCCCCCAATTGGTCTCTCTTCTGGCAAAGATGGTGTTTTTTTTTTCAGTTTCTTCATTGACCTCCACAATACTGGTATACGCAATTACTGATGATGAGGTTGCCCAGTAAAGTTCTTCATCTTTCTTAACAATATTGGAGAACTTGAAAGATGTTCCCTCCTTAATCAGGTTGTATTTGGCTTTTTGGTATACTCTGATATGAGTGAAAGTTTCTCCACACAGTCCCACTACATTGAAATATACCATTTCCTTATTTGTTGTTTTATTTGTGTATGACTGCAGTGCCTTGCTCTTTTTAATAACTTTTAAGCACTTGGTAAATGTCTCAGATTGCTGTGCCTAAATCATGCAGAAAAAAAATGTGATTTACAATTATTATTTTTTCTTTAAATGCATTACTAAATATAGCACATCCTTTTTTATTAGCAACCATGGCTTACAATAATGACACAAACATTCTCATATGTAAATTTTTAAGCACTTTGTTAAATGATAATAATATTAAGCTCAAATTCATAGGAAATAGATATACTTGTAAATGATATATGTTGTAAATAATACTTAAAAAGAGGCAATTACAATATTCGTTTAATTTTAAACCTTGTTTTCTTTATTTACCTAAATATCGCTAAAAATAATGTTCATCAATAGAGTTACTTCCCCTTTTTGTGACGTTATAAGACACTTGACAGATCTTTGTATGATATTTGGGGTACTAGTATTGATCTCTTTGTTTGTAACCCCTCAATGAATAAAATTTAATGAGATTTACATAGAATCTTTAAATCATATTGTCACTGTGCACTTTCTATTTTAATATCAACAATGAGTGATGGGAAATGGTGACAAAAAATTAAACAGACCACAGAATGTCAGTCATATTGTTCCAGAGGCTGATAATAATGAATAATTATGAATTTTCACAAAAATATTATACATGACCTTTAAGCATATTATTTACATGCAATTCATTAACATATTGCAATTAAACAAAATTAAAATCTAAGGCAACGAGTTTTACATAATTGTTTTTTTAAAATATTACACATAAATCATTTCTGCCTTTTAATGATAGCTTTCAAACGCTCATTCTCGTCAATTACACATTCACTTGCTGCTAATTTTGTTAAATCTAAACTTATTAGGTACAATCCTGATAAACTACGAATCCGGCTTAAAGCAACATATGTCATACCTTTTTCAAACACGTGAGAACCTACATCAAGAACAGCACAATCTAAAGACATTCCTTGTACCTTATGAACAGTACAACCCCATGCTAATACTAATGGAAACTGTGTTCGAACTATTTGCCTTCCACTATAAGTAAACTCATGCTGAACAGGTTCTATTGGAATAGGATTATGCATTGACATGTTATGAACACAGTTTAATCTCCCCACTCTATAATCATCAAAAAGTACATATATTTTAGATGGTACAGATTGTTCATTATTTGACATTTCATGGTCTATATTAGTAACTGTGCCCATTGCACCATTTACTAGACCTCTTCCCGTCTGAATGTTTCTAATTAACATAACTCGAGCATTGACAGCAATCTGCAAAATATTACACAAGCCTCCAGCATCTCTATCATCTTTTGGAATTAAATGAGCTTCAACAGAATTTAATGCATTTTGGTCAGCTTGTGAAAAGTAATGTAAAGCAGGTATGGATAAAACATTTTCAACCATTTTTGCCAAGAGTCTGTTGTTGTGATTTTCAACTTGTCGTCTCAAAGGAAAAATGTGTAAAAATTTTTCTAATTCTTCACTTTCAATACACAATCTACTTTTTAAACACTCCATATCTTTTTCAGATGGTAAACCTAATCGAACTCTATTCAACAATGAGAAAAAAGTACAATTACCATTTTGTCTCATATTTTCTGATAAAAAAAATGGTTCAAATAAATGCCATAATAACACATTTTCAAATGCATATGTTCCCCTCACTGGTCTCAACTGAAAAAAATCTCCAACTGTTATTATGTTGAATCCCCCAAATGGTAAATTGTTGTCCTTGATTTCTGAGAGCCGTCTACTTATGAATGTTAACATGCTACTGCTTACCATGCTTATTTCATCTATTATTACTGTGTGAACATTAAGAAATTTTTTTCTTAATTGTTTCAAAGAGTGACCTGACAGACAATTATACTGCAAATATTTGCAAACCGGAATCTTTAACATAGAATGAATTGTTCCGCCATTAATATTGTTTGCAGCTGTACCAGTTGGTGCACAGACCAAAACAGGATTAGAATTAGAGACTTTTGAACAAAACAGCTGCAAATAAGCAACAATAACTTTTGTGAGAAATGTTTTTCCAACACCAGCACCACCGGATATGAACATATAAAAAGGAAATTCTTTATTTTGAAACTTAAGTTTCAAAAATTTTAACACTTTTGACTGAGATAGTGTTAATTTTTTAACCGAATTGTGAAATTCTTCAAGAGACATAGTACATGCAAGTGAATGCATATGCAAATCATCTTCAAAACTAATGTCATCAGACCTCTGTTCATCTGATTCATCATTCATACAAGAAAATGCTTCAAATATTTCATTTTGATCATATCTTGATGTCTGATCATTTTCAGAATTTGTTGACAAATTATTCAATTCTTCTTCTAAATTGATTCTTCTTAAAGTATTTTCAATTTGTTCAGTGAATGAAAAATGTGTAAAATCAATTGAATCATCCAGTAAACGATACTTGTTGATAAAAGACTCTTTAGCAGAGGAAAATGGATGCATTATTTCTTTGTCAGACCTGTGTGGAAGTAATAATACAAGTATACTATAGAAGTAATCTTCTGAATAACTTGGATGTGTTGGAGTTCTAATAACAAAGGGCTTTTTAACTTTTTTCATCCATATATCATATTTAGCAATATATATCCTTTCTAAACATTTTCGTTTTGGTTGTCCAAGATTAGTCTTTTCATACCAAGAACAAAATCTATACAGAGAGAGATTTTCCATATTGTGAGGACGATGTTGATAATAATCATGAAAAACATCTGTTGTCATGTATTAAGATAAACAAATCTTCTGCTTGTGTGTAAAAACATCTGTATGAATTTTCTGGTAAATCGTTTGAATTTCTTTTGTTTCACTTTTATTAAAGAATGAGTGCAAAATTTTAAATCTTCATTAAATCTATGTTTTATAGGAAGGTTTTTGGTATATTATATTACATGAAAGCATTAAATAATGTATTTTGAAGATCAAACAAATTCATATGCATACCAGTTTTCTTGTGTGTATCACAGAATATGTATTTTAACTTTAACTTATACATATCCAAAGGACAATTTGGCCAAGTTGCGCTTAATCTATTTTCATGCAAACTAGGGTCTTCCGGTCACTGAGCTTGATATAATAATCACCTTTCTCATGACCTTCTGCTGTTCTACGCTAACGCTTTCATTGAAAATTTCATTGTGTTTAAAACAGTGGGAGATTTTTGCCAAATTTTATTTTCAACAGCTTTTCATTAGATATGTTCATTGGAATACTATGGATTTGTTTCAAACATACATTTAATAATTGTGTAAATTAACATCTCTCTCTCTTCTCCATTTCAATTCGAGCATTTTTTAATTCATTCCACAACCATGGTTTAAATGTCTCCGCCTATTTGCGGATACCTTAGATTCGAAAGTGGTCCCGTTCAAATTTCCGGATTTAAGGCTTTACATGTTCTTTTCAATGTAATTATAGAAATATGTATGACAAAAAATTCTATTAATCATAGATTAATTTAGCGATATATTGTAATGTTAAGCTTAAAATGTAGCACTGCATACATAATATGCAGCACCTTCTGCATTGCATATCAGTTGAATGTCCATATTAGCTCTCCAGTGTCTTAAAACTACAGGATTAAAAGCATTTATCATAACATCATCTTTTTTTCGAAGAGTCACATAAAATTTTCCTTTGGTTTTCTTTGATAAATTTATATTTGAGAAAATTTTTGTTTCATTGCATTCTTTTTTTGGAAAATTGAAACGACATTTTGACTTGTAATTGTTTGAACAATAAGGGCTGTGATTATGAGTTTGCAATCGTTTCACTAAATCATACAATTCTGGATCTAAATATTGGTCAGGAACACCTGTAACAATTGTATCATTGATGTATTTTTTTAATTGCACAATAGATTCAGAATCAATATTATTTGGAATATTTTCAATCCAAAAAAACATGTGAATGTGAGGACTTCCACGATTTTGAAATTCAACACGAGCAAAATAATCTCGAACTTTTCCTAAAGGTTAAATGCCATTCAATAAAACATACTTCATTAAGGCATCAAATCTCTCAAAATGCATTGCTGTCATTAAGGGATCTTTTTTAACACCAAGAAAATTGCTTGTCTCAGATGCATTGTTCAGTAACAGATTGCGCAATTCTTTCCAGTGAATATCATCTGCAGATAAAGTCATAAATATTGTTGGAGGTCCTAAAGCCTTAAACATTGCAAGTAAATTATACAAATGATTCTTAAAGTAAGCAACAGTGCCTCGTATGTTTTTCATAAACATGTAAGAATTTTCCACTAAAGATGGATTTCTTTCAATATTTCGTATCTGTCCAGCAGTAGGCATTGCATTCTTTCTCATTCTCATCTTTATATTTATTTCTGATTTTAACAAACTTAAATCTAGAGAAACTGCTGTATGAAGTAGATATGTCATATTTTCCCGAAACTGCCAACTTTTGTGATACAATCTTTGCTTAAAATACATTGCTCTAGGAATTTTTATTGCTCTTGGAAAATTTAATCCATATTTACCATTTGGAAACAACCATGGATATGCCATTTCTTCTCCATTTTCAATTTCAAACACATGTACAGGATTCTCTGTAATACTCGGAATTTTAATAACAGAATCCTTACTTTGCATAAAATTTGAAACATTTGTAAATGGAATACAAGCATCCAAAGGAGTTACTGTACAATGTTCCATATTATCAAATTCAAAATTTGTGACATTTTCATTTGTATTATTATTTTTATCTCGGTTTAATTCATTGCTACAAATTTTGATCTCACTGTATAAAGCATTATTTTGTTTCAGCCAAATCAAAGCATCCTTTAATTTAGCCGGCCTGACCCTGTAATTTATATTTTCAACTGGTTCATATTTATCTTGATGTAAATAATGTACAGCCATTAGATCCATGTTTCTGTAGTCATGTGGCAATTGATTTGCAACCGTTTGTACATCTGATGGTAGATTTAATATTTATCCTTTCTCTGCAAATTGACCACCTAGAAGGACGATCACAGTCATGAAAATTTCTATAAAAACATATCATTTTTTTTCGATATTAGTAAGACAATTCAAAACATTGGGTATGGGTTCCATACAAAGATTATTATACTTGACTGAAATGCTGGGGATTTCTTGGTTAGCAATTCTATTATGACAGTATGAACAAAGTGATAAATTTTTCTTGAATGTTTCATCTGCAAGAGAGAGTGTCACATTTTTTTTTCAAAAAATGAATTTGATCCTCAAATAAAAATTTTTCACAGGATTCACAGGTAAAATTTGCTCGCTTTAGAATGTTTGCCTCATACTGCTTTTCATGAAGTTCATTATTTAAATAATTTTCACAATCATTTGAAGAAATTGTAACACATTCAGCTATCTCAATGCCATCAATAACTTCATTAAGATGTTCATCAATGATTTCTGGAATGCAATTGTTTGAAATGATTGGGCAATTTACTTGCAACTTAAAATCATCATGGACTTTCATTTTCTTTCTCTCTTTTTTCTTTCCAGTTTTATCATAATAATTATGGAAGTTATTTGCAATACCTCCTAATTCACAGGCAGATTTAGAGTTATGATCTTTATTTTTCTGGTCAAGACAAAAACTTGATGAACAACTCTGATCATTTGCCTTATTATCACTTAGAGATGAAAAATGATATGCTGTGTTTTCTTTCTTAGAAGAACATTCTAAAACATCTCCTGCATTCAACCAATAAGGAAAATGAATGGGTGTCAAACAAATTCTTTATCATAATACACTGTATTGATGTAAGTTAAGAATTCATTAACATCTGAAAATGACAGTAAAATACCAGATCCATTTTCATCTGGGAGACCATAACAATTCCTTTGATGTGAATCAAACAAATAAACAGAGCCTGTGACTGAGCTATAATAAACAGCGACAGTGACATCTTGGAAAGTGGCTAAATGATAAGATGACAACTGAATGCCTTCGTGAAATGCAGAATCAAACGTTGTTTGACCAAAGTCGTCTTGTGCAACATGAGAAACGGTACCGAAGTAGATGTCATAATGATACGTTATTTCACCCGATAAACCATTCCAAGTAGACAAATCGGAAGGCAAATCCCTATGAGATAAATAACCATTTACGTCACCTCTAGAGTGAATATGACGATACAAATCTGTCCCCTGTACAATTGTATCATTTAAATCCGCTGAAGTTATATTTTCAACATTTGGACTGTGCCTCATAAACATCAACAAAGCTATTAACGCAACAGCTGTACATTGTATTCCATTAAACGGCTGAAATTGTTGACAACCTTGATGAAAATTAGCAAAAATTGTACTTACCATTTTCACCGTCTCGCTTCGCTGTCTTCCGTCAAAGAGGCGGGAAAATTCCTTTGTTCTCTTTTCCACGTGTGTATAGTTTTTGAATTCCGATTCCGATCACATAAGGAAAAAGTAAATTTTTCTTTATGTAACATGCATGTTGAAAAATTAAACACAATGACGAAATAAATAAAATAAATAGATATAAAATAAATAACTTTTAAATAAATTGATAAAACAGATACATGATTTATTACTTAATCGGAAACAAATACCGTACAAGTTAATATCTTCGGTTGACCTGTGTATAGTTTTTGAATTCCGATCCCGATCACATATGGAAAAAGTAAATTTTTCTTTTTGAAAACATGCATGTTGAAAAATTAAACACAATGACGAAATCAATAAAATAAATAGATATAAAATAAATAACTTTTAAATAAATTAATAAACATATAAATGATTTATTACTTAATCGGAAACAAACACCGTACAAGTTAATATCTTCGGTTGACCTCATTTTAATGTTTACTCTCTGCGTAGTCTATTTATAGAATAGATAACCCTCGTTTATGCGGCATTAATATTGCGATTATTTTAGTATATAGAAGAACTTAAAACATGTTTAAATATTTTTTTAATAATGAAAAACAATAAAATATGTACATTTTAAAAGGAAAGAGAGTTGCACTTTGTTAGCTAAAGTTTAATAAATCATAGTCCGATTCCAATTCTCTAACACTCAAAAAATAGTCATTCCCATTATAAACAAATGCATAGCACATTTTGCATCATTTCCTGGTTCATCAAGCATTCTCAGAGTTTGTTTTAAAGGGTTCCTGAATGGAAAACAAAATTTTATCGGTACTTGCTGCTCCGTGACGTCCTTCGACGTCCTTTTTTTTGCTTTTTTTCATGAAGGCCATCTGCCTTTAAAGATTGAAATCTTTTAAACGAAGCGATGAATTACATTAAATTTTAGCATCTAAAGTAATTGAACAATTCTAAATTTAAACATTTCAAATTTATTTTGTTTAAGAGCCATTTATTAGAGGTATGACTCCAGACATTATCAAGTGTATAATTAGAAAATAGGTCAATTTTGACCCTGCTCCGTGACCCAATTTTTTTCTGTCTTAAATCTTTGATAATTTTGATAGTTTTCAAGATATTTTCCATTTTTTTTTGTCTCAAATTATTTAGATTTATTGTTAAAATAAGTGTACAACTTTTTGAATGACCCTCGTATTTGTGGAATAAAGCTGACTCTTAGTTTCTATAAATAAGATATAGCAGAGTATAAGCAATAAATAATTCTGGACTCTACAAAATAAATTTAATCTCTCACTCCAAAAATCTCTCATTTAGTTTATTAATTTCAGACAGAAGAAATTATGAATATAAAAGTATCTAATCTCATGCATGGTCAAACTGGAAAATGTCTTTGTCTGTTGTCCAGAATTTTGAGGTATAAGTCTTGACCAATAGGATTTCAGGAAATTTAATTCTACTCAGGTAGCTTAATACAGGTGTAGAAATAGAAAAGGAGTGGATCTAAAGTTTTAGCTGATTGTTTATTTCATTTGTTTTGTTTCATTTGGTTTGTTTAATTTAATTTTTTTTGTGTGTTTAAATGGAAGATTGCAATATCTGAGTCTAAATTGTTTGTTTTGGTCAACAATAATTGACACACATTTTTAATGCACTTTAGAGTTTAAAATCAGTTGTGGCATATTCATAATGTATAAGTAATAAATTATACATTTGAATATTATAATTAAAACAACATAAAACTAATCACTATTACATAAGGACAAAACAATCGGAAAGGGAACTGGAGGAAGATCAACATCAATCTAATCTTAACTGTTTGCAAGTTTGGCTTTCCAGAAAGCCTGAAATGCCAGTTCTTTGGTTTCATTAATGTCACAGATTAAACAGCTCTTTGGTTTCATTAATGTCACAGAATAAACAGTGGACTGTGACTTTTTTCTCAGCTATTACAGATTTTTTTCTTCTAGGGAATGGGAGTGGCAGCTTAACTGAACAATTGTAGATTAGGAAAACGGGTAGTGTAGAGCCGCACCGAGTGGTGTTACAACACATTTCATGATTTCAGTTTGCATGAATAAATTAATCCTTGTTCCTCATCTTGAAAATAGACGCCGAAATTCTAGTCTACAGTTGTAAAGTAAAACAATCACATGTACGTATAATTCCAAGTCATAGGTAATAATCCAAGTAAGTGTTATCTATCTTTAACCATTCTACCTACTAAGTCCTCTATATTTCTATCTCTCTCTTTCCTATTCTATGCTTTTCTTAAATTCTGTCGCGTTATATATAAAATCAAGATCCGCTTCTGATGATCAGGAGCACATTATAATAAGATCCTTAAGATCAGGAGTCAATACACGCAAACGCATAAACATATATATATATACGTACATTTAAATTTATGGTAGCAATAAGTCATATTCACAATTGCTATAATAAATTGAAAACAAATCACACACAAGAGAAAAATTAAACAATTTTACAAAAGCGTGTAGTAGTCATTGTACATATAAACAATTAAATATGAAATTTAAATTTAAACACAATAGTAAAAATATTTCACAAGTGAAGTCCTGATTTCTACATTTTTTTTTTTTACAGTTCATTAATTTACCGAAATAATTAATCGTCTTTGATTATGTGGATTGCTGGAGCTGCGAAATGTCGAGGTATTTCGTTCAAAATGTCCATAGCAACTTCGGTAACAGTTATTTCATCGATGCTCACATTTTCGTAAAGAGTAATGGACGTGTTTCTCAACTCTTCTCTTCTACCGTCTGGATAGGTTTTTACTGTGGTAGTCATGCATAGACAAACAATTCTTGTTTCAGTTTACGGTCTCTTCTTCTTCCTTTGCGCATGCAGTTTTAAGGGGTCTTCATGGAAATCGACTTATCCCGGATTTTGGGTGATAAGGTCATCTACTATGCTGAGGATGTCTCCAGTAGCTTCATTGGTAGAGCTCAACAACTCGGGGTCCATACAGAAGTCCATTGCGTCCATTAAATTAAATTCATCGTCACTTGCGATGTCCTCACACATGTCAGTTACAGATTAAGTGTTCACCGGAATTTCGTCATTGAATTCCTCTCCATCGAAAGATATATCTTTGTATGCGGGATCCATTACAAATACGAGTTTCAGCTCTTTTTTTTTTTGTTGAGGATATTTGAAATATTGAAATGACCCTTGTTTTTGACACAATTGAACGTTCTTCCAATGATTTATGGGTGGGTAGACTTTGTTAATTTCGTTAATGTTTGTCATAAAATTCTTGCAAAAATAATGCTTTTTCAATGGCGTCTGCGTGTCAGTAAAGTAGCTGTTAAACATGTATATGCTGTTCAATCCTGGACGTGTAAGTAGACAATGTAGACTGATGAGTGTTAGAGTGTCCGCTACCTGATTCCCACCTATAGAGTGACACATAGCATATAAATAAAAGTAAAAACCATGCTGTGGTATATACTTTTAGAGTGTCCAACGGGACAACGTGTCGTAAAAAATTCAAATATTTGAAAGCAATGTATCTTTCTTTGCATGAATACACCAATACAGTCAATCAGTTTCTCAACCCAGGCACGTAGCATCGTTTTTGAAAGTGGGGGGGGGGGCAGAATTTTTTTTTTACTTGCCTGAAAAAGTTGACAAGCAAAAAAAAAAAAAAAAACGAAAATTAAAAGTTGACCAAACTCGAAAATCCTATTTCGTGGGGAGGGGGGAGGGTAGTGGCCAACTTTTTCGAAACCAACTTACTTTCATTTACAATTTTTTTCCTTAAATTCCTTGATATCACGATACCATGGCATAAAGTGGGGGGAGGGGGGGGGGGGGCAACCAACCTTTTAATGAACATTTACTATAGTAAAGGTAATGTTGGGGATAAAAGTGGGGGGGGGGGGGGGCTGCCCCCCCCCCCCCTCCGGTTGCTACGTCCCTGTCACCAGCTGTTGTTACATCACTGTCATTAGATTTTAATCTAGTATCCGGTAAGTATCAGGTAATTATTTCGATTTTGACAATTGGGTGTTTATAAGGGCCTAGTTCCTCTCACAAATGACGCAACGAAAATGTCCCTTGACATCTTTAGCATGATCACACATGTATGACTTCATTAAAATCAATCTTCTACATTTGTCAGACACCATAAGTTCTTCAATGTCATAATCAATTTTTCAGAGCACGGCCCATCTGTTGAAAGAACGTGTTAGTTTCGATTGGAGGTCCATAGTTCACCCCACGCCAGCAGCATTTGTAGATGTAAGAATTAATAGCTGTCTTACACAATCTGTGGTTTTACTGTGAAACATGTTTTAAAAAGTGACTTCTTCCAAACTGTTCAACAAAAGTCATATTATATAGAAGGAACAATCTTTAATAGTGTTCAAAATAGAAGATGCCTTTGAAATGGGCGTATTTGTTTTCATGTCCTCAATAATCCATGAACAAATGACATCAATGTCAACATTTTGTTTTACCTTCAACACACACATTTAAATATTTTTTTTTTCTATCAGGGGTATATCACATATATCCGAAGCGCAATTGTGACATGATTTTTCTTCTGTGACTTGGGCATGCAGTAGCAGTCAATGCCAAACAAGACATTTTTAAACAAAGAGAACACAATTACATCAATTGAAAAAGTTTAATGATTCTAAACCAAGAAATAACAAGTGATTTCTATCACTGCTCCAGGTTACATGTACGTACTGTATGTCCCTTAATTGTCCCTTTATCGCAGGAGTCTGTCATGAGAAATTTGGGTTTCCATTTCCAGCCTTCTGTTTTATCTGGATCTCCATTGACCCAGTTTTTGACAGTTTGTAAGACCCTGTACAATTAATGTCTCAATCTGGACAACACATTGCCACAAAGCTGAAAAGCAACATTTGTCTTCACAGCCAGAAAGAAAAGAGGCAAAGCATACTGTGGTTCTATAGGTGGCATCCAATGGAGAAATAGAGGGTGTTTCCATATTTTCAATATAAACAAAACAATCATCTGAATGTGTATGCTGTACAGTATTCAGAACTAGGAATTATACCTTTTTAAAATGATTTAAATTTCTTTAAAATCAAATGAAACATAACTCATCATTAAACATGCATGACAATCTAAACATAAAAGACATTACCTGTAAAGCAAATGCTGATTCGTGACAGAATAAATCTGCAAAATATTTATTTACTTTTCAATAGTGAAAAATCAGTAGAGGTATAAGAATAATATTTGTGTTAATCCACTGACGGTAGTTTAACCCTGTTTGATACGAAGAATAAGATTGTGTGAATTGAAAAATGCCATTTATTTACATTGTAGATGACTATATAAAAATCACAAAATGTCATGCATATAAACATATAATTCAGAATTAGAAAGATTGAATAATTGAAAGATATAATCATTTTTCTTTCAATAAATTTCAAAAGGTGGGGTATAAAAAATTCGCCACATTATTGTGTTAAAAAAACACAATAAACCCCGGCACTACCTGAAAATTCGGCTTTACAAATCTAGTAAAGATAATGTAAATTCATTATTTACAATGCCTTTAACAGGTCGGAGAGAATACTCGAAATCGGGTATTATCCGTGAAACACGCGTATAATACTCGATAT